AAACAATCATATTTAATAACGTGTCATAATGAAATTGCTGGAGTTGTGTGTTACGCATTTTATTTGACGGTTATTACGCAGTGGGACTAACCAGTAATTATTTTGGGCAAAACGTAAATATGTTAATGATACACCACTGAGGCGAGTCCGCAGTGGTCTGGTTGGATTTAGTATAAATATTATATTATAAGTTATTTTTTATGCAACTTAAAATGGCAAACAAGCTGACGGCCCACCTTATAGAAAGTGGTAACCGTCGCCTATAGATGTGAGCAGTAGCATAGACATAACAGAGTATACTGTTTCAGCCATGATACCCCCCATGCATTGCCATTCCTGAGTACACTATAAATTCACTGCTATATCCCACCCTTCAAACCAAAACACAGCCATGTATACAATTGACATAATTTCATCGTATCGTATCAGCTCTTAACTGTCCACTGCTGAACATAGGTCTTTCCCCTTAGGAGGGATTTTGCCAGTAGTTGCCACGCTAGGCAGGCGAGTTGGCAACGGCAGTTAGGCTTTGGTGATGTTTAAAGAGGAACGCTGCTACCTATATTTCGATCATTAAGTTCCCTTAGTCGCCTCTTAAGACATCCACGAGAAAGGAAGGAGTGGAATATTCTATAAAGGGACTACACGCTATTATGAGTCGTATTGTATTGTAATAAGTTATTAATTTTAAATTATTTTAATATTAAAACCGCAGTTAGGCTTTAGGGATATATTAAGATATATCAAGAGGCTGCTACATATACCTTGACCATTACATTCCTTTAGTCGCCTCATAGGATGCCTATGGGAAAGAAATGGGTGGCCAATATGGCAATTGATGTAATATTTTCTATAAACACTTATATTTATCTTCTTTAATAAAGGAATTTAGATTTAATCATTACTTAGATTAGGAAATAAGCAGAAGGCCCATCTGATGGAAAATGAGGATTGACGCTTATAGACGTGAACAGCGCCATGTACTTTACAGAATATACTGTAATACCCATGGTATTTCACTTCCATATTCCACCCTTCAAACCGAAACACAGTTTCAAAAACTCAAAAAATATTATTTTAGCTTCTACTGTCCCCACTAAGAACCCTCATATATATATATATATATATATATATATATATATATATATATATATATATATATATTCTCTTAATATATAAATTTCTCAAATATAATTTATGTACGAACATCGTATAGTTATATTTTTTTTTAATAAATTACCACGTGGATTTATTTTGTCTAGATGACGTCAGTGTGAATGCATACCGTACTCCGGGCCGGACGCGTTCGTACGTTGCTCCCGTTCCGAGCTGTCTATTCCTGAGATGTCTTAATAAATCTGCACCATCTTTGGTTATAATGACACGATTTTTTGGACGGTGACCGTTCGTGGTGCAATCTCAATTAGTGCGATATATTTTCTCGTTAAAATCGCCCGCGCAAACTGGCCCTTTCGGCTGTACTGCTGGCGAGAAAATCATTTCCAAAAATATTTTTCCATTTTTATTTTCTATTAAAAAATATAATACTCGATAATACGTCACCCTGTGGCGAACTAACCAGTTTTAAGGGGGGAAAGGGATTGTTAGTAAGGGGGATTCTTGGCTTGAGAGAAACTTTTTTTTATATTACTATGATACGCAAACAAACGTACAGCCTGTGGACGCCTATAAAATCAAGGATGTCACTCGCGCTTTGCCATTCCCTAAGAATCCTTAATACGCTCTGTTTGAAGAATCCCATGCTGTCTCTAGAGAAAACCTCAGCAGGAAAATCAATCGACAACCTGAGTATTCGCGGGAAGAAGCTCCGAAATTGGACATTGCGTGATCATTCTGGTCCAAAGGTGCAAGGATGGATTCGCCGCCAATGATGAGCGGTGCGATAGTGTAAGGTAGTTGTAGGCCTCGTATTAAAGAGTTCTTTAGAACACAAACCTTTGAATATACTATCTGGACTTGATGCGACGAAAATCCTGTCGTCTTCACGACGCGGTGCAATCCACGTCGAAATGTCGACAATAAAAAAGTATGTATGTATGTACTATATTATACTACTATACTTACGAACTCCGATTCATTTTGGCCAAGCCTATTCAGACTCTTTTGTTGTGGCTGCAATTAAATTATAGAACACACTTGCTCATTAAATTAGAAATAGCCCAAGCATTGAGATTTTCAAATCGCGTCTGAAGAATTATTACCTCTCACAATGCTGACGTACGTACTTATTGTATTTGTTTATTATATATAATATATATCTATCTATTTATACATATTTACTTATATATATTTTTATTAATTTATTTACAACTACCGGTGTTTTCAATTGTAAATACATGTTATTTATTTATTTTCAACTATAACATTTAAGTCGATTGGTACACATGTATGACTGTAACTAGTAATAAACTATCAGTTTATCTCATATTGGGTTTGCTGGAAAAAATCTTTTTTAGAAATAAGCTTGCCTTTATGCACTAGTATGTTCGTTTTTCTGGTACAATTAATTTATATGCACATTAAAGAATAAAGATTACTACTTATCTGCAAATTTTTTATCGCCTTAAGTCCCGATAGTGTATTTAAAAATTTGTATCTACAATGCTAAAGTTTTGAAGTCGTCTTACTTCATTGACTCCCTAATTTAAACTGTAGCACTGTCGCTCCTAACTGTACATCAGTCAATAACGTAAAGCTTCCATTATATATCACTAACGAGGTACATTTCTTTCTGCTGCGTAAACATCCGACTACGTATATGCGGGAATGCTGGACACGCGGACGCACTGAAAAACCAATGATTTGTGGGTACCACTGTGACATTATTCCAATTAAATTGAGTGACAAAAGTGTTGTCAAAACGAGAACATTGCACCTTGTTAGAGGAATTACAAACTTAACTGTCGGATATAAGGTCGCCGGTCGACTGACGTGTCGGCACTTTGATTGAATAGTGTCAGAAATGGAGCGATGGAGATAATGATACCAATTAAATCTGTTAAAGTTTTATTATGCTGACGCAGTAATTTGTAAGGCAGTTTATGTAGTTCATGTTACCCTTTGGCTTGTACAGCATTATTGAATTGAATTCTTAAGGGTCGAGTTTATTGAGAAACATCGGTAATATTTCTCGTAAATTAGACATACTGTCCTTGATAGAATGATACTAGCCTGCTATTACCACCAGACCAGCTTGATAATATAGTTGGGTTAATGTATAAATTTTACTACAATTTTCCATTTTTAGTGGTATTGTATTTTGTTGGTTTATTCATTCTGGCTTGATATAGAATTATATTTACATATAACATTAACTCACTTATTGATAGACATATGTATATAGACATTACAGAATATACTATGACGCATGTCAAACGTATGATGGTGGGACCACACGGCAGGGAGCTTAGCTATCCACTATAAAATTTTACTAGAGGGAGACTGTTCAAAAGTCACTTGCTTGGCCACCTCTATCCCATTAATGTTTCTACCGTGAAACAGTTGTGTTTGCAATACCATGTTTTGGTTTGAAAGGTGGGATATGGCAGTGAATTTACAGGGTACAGAGGAATAACACCCGTGTCCTCAGGAATGGCAACGCATGGGGGGATATCATTGGCGAAACAGTATACTCTGTTACATCCATGGTATTACTCATGTCTATAGGCGACGGTTACCACTTTCCATCAGATGGGCTCTCAGCTTGTTTGCCATTCTAAAATAGAACACATAAATAGAATACAATAATGAAAGCACAGCATCTTAGAGGCAGAAACCCGAGTATGATAGAGCTACATACATTCATACGAACGTCTTTTCCATGCTCTTTAAATATGATGCAGAATTCTTTTGAATTATTCAGTGTAACCGCTACTATTTGAACTACTGTTACTTACTAAGCTGAATATAATTACCTGAACAGGGATTGTCAATGTTGATCGATCATAAATTATGGAAAAATTTGAATATAATTATGGTAATTGACAATTCAAATTGACATATCCTGATTCTTATAAGGTTTTCTGAAAGTCCACATGGTTTGTACCAAAGATTAGTAGCCGATATTTGAAAAAAAAAATTAATAATTTTAAATATTTATTTCAAATTGAATATTTAAAAAATGCAATCGGCTGGTGACTTAGATCGAAGAACTGAGAACTAATGGGGAAGAAAATTCATGAGTGGAAGTACGAGCAAACGCATCTTAGGATGACCCTCCACTAGATGGAGTGATGAGCTCAAATGCATTGCAGGGAGTCTGTAGATGCAGGAGGCTCAGGACTGTTCTTTATAGCAGTCTATTGAGGAGGTCTATGTTCAACAATAGACAAATGACGGCCGAGATGATGATCATGATGACTTAAAAAATAAATTGATAAGGATTAAAATCTCTGAATGATGAATTACAATGATCATACATGAACTCATTAAATTTAAAATTTAATTTTCTCTCTATCAAGCTAAATGATTAATTAAAAAGTGTATTAAAAATATTACACAGATACTGTATTTTTTTTATATACTTTATCCTGAGAAGATAAAAAACATCGCTACAATAAGCATCTTAAAATTTCTATCACTGATAAGAATTAGCAGCGAATTTTTAAAAGAGGGCAAGCACAAAAGTTCCTGGAAAGTTTACAGTGTCACAGTATTTTCTACCTGAAAAAAGGCTCTCTTCCAATAATTATACGTTTTTAATGATTTTTTTAAAAATAACATGATAAAAGTATTAAAGTACAATGACCTACATATTTTTTATACAAGCTGACGGTCCACCTAATGGAAAGTGGTAACCGTCGCCTATAGACATGAGCAGTGCCATGGACATAACAGTTGCTCAATACTGTGTCGCCCATGATACCTCCCTTCCATGTGTTGCCATTTAAACAAGAAGAATTTTAATCTTTATACAACTGTTCTATATAGTCACGTCAGGTCCCTGGCAGATGTAAATAAAACTACCTTATATATAAGGCACTCACGTTTATTCTCTTCAAATATATTAAGATTTATTTTATAAATGTAAAAAAAAACATATAAAAATATCGTATCACTGATAACAACAACTGAGTTTGAATATCACTTAATCAGTACAGATTTACATGTTTAGTGAAATTGAAGGTAGTCTGATAAAAATTTTGCAAAATTATACTTCTTATAACATTTTAAATTAATTATGAAAGTAAGTCTTTGTTTACGTATATTTGACCTAAAGGATTGATTCGTATTGTAAATTGTAAAATTCTATTGTTTTTATTACATTCTATTGTAATTGTAAAAAAAAAAATTATGACACTAATTGTTCAATAAAATGGCACGTCATAGTTGTAACGTAACAAATTGTATTAAATTATCAAATAAATCTTTTTTATTTATTTATTATTAATTAAGGTAAGTGTATTTGAAATCTCATATTAAATATCGAAGATATATTTTTGAGCAAAATAAAAACAAAACATTGTAATTTAATTTAATTAAAAACTGCCTATTTATTAAGTACTATAAAATGTTGTACTAATATTGAAACTATTTTTAAACATTTTTTTTTATATAAAATTCCAATGACTTCCCAAAAAAATTTCCAGCAAAAAAGAAATCTATTCTATTATAAATTCAGACAATATTAAGTACTTATTATTTTGAAATTTTACCTATGAACCTATCAAATCAAATATTAACTATCAGTTTGAGCATCATTAAAAAGGAAAGTATTAAAATTATTTAAAATCTCTAAGAAAATAAAAACGAAACAAATAACAAAATAACACACAAGCAATTACACTAGTTTACAATTATAAATTACAAAAAAAAAAACTAATTAAAAATTGTAACCTACAAGAAAATGACTCAATACACTGGCCTACGAACTAAAAAATAAATACTTATATAATTTTCAATATAAATCTCCTAATATTATACAATTAACGAGAATTATCTAAACTTATTTGTACACGTAAATTTTGAGCTTTGCATTCACTGGCCACTTATCCCTTTACTTAAAACTAAAATGGTAAGACAAAAAATAAACTGGCATAATTTGTGAACAATTACTGGCATCAATTAATATACACAATATTTTTATTACTATACAAATTTGATTATTTATTTCAACATAATATTTTTTTAAACAGAATTATACCTTTTTCAACTTTAAGAATTGCTCAGTACAAAATGTAGAATGCACTATTTTTTAGTCATTCCAATCTATACATAGTAATAATAACACCCAGATCATTTTCCCAAGATTTCATAACTTCATCACCCAAACTAAAAATACTATCTACACAAATAAAAAAAAAATAACAATACTTAAAACAACTGGTAGTAAGATCAGGTAATCAGGAAGAGGGGAATGTACAATTGCTTAAATACTGTATGGCGGTAGCATTTTAATTATAAAATTTTAACTCTTTTAATTAATACTTTTAACTACCATATATACATATAAATAGAGAAACAAAATGGCTCCTTTGACTCACGGTTACTAAACGTTAGTTACTAAATTTCATCCAGTCATTGGCACTTCCTCTGTTCTTTTCGGAACTAGAGACAAATCTAGGGGATTTTTCATTATGTCTTTACTATTGTCATCACCAAGGTCAATTCTTAATTCTGGTTCCGAATCACTAACTTCTTCGTTCTTGGGACTTCTGTACAGTAGGGCTGTTGATTTTATTGATAGGTCTATTGGTTGATCTTGCTCGATCGCGACTCCCGCCACCGCTGGGGAATGTAGTAAAGTCTCCCCACCATTACGATTCTGCCAATTGGAAATTGCTGGGGGAACTGATCTCATCACACTCATGTTTGTTGCTAAAAATGGCCTCGGAGAAAAACTCGGGGAAGCTGATACAGGGCCGAATGGCGAGGAGGGAGGCAAAATTGACGGTTTTCGTTTTCTGACATCTTTATTTTGATTTCTAATAGCTTGTAATCTTACATCTTTTTCACTGCAAGGCGAAGACGTTGGTCTGAATATACTTAAACCGCTAGTACTTCTAGAACTATTATCGTCTTCTGGATCAGCTGAGGACGCGCCAGAATCGGACGGCGATACGCTTTGCCGCGTTATGTCTTCTGTATAGTGACTTTTCTCGGAGTTCTTATAATATTCGGCTAAAGCAGCTGCCGGTAAGAGATTTGTAGGCAAAAATGACGGATTCATGGACGAATTGAATGTTGGTGGGGATTTATTTGTTTGTAATTGATTTATCTGCTGTTGTTGCTGCTCCTGCAGTAGACAGTGTATCTTAAACCAGTTCGATCTCCGTCCATATCTCGAGCCCGACTTGGACATGCCGACTAAAAGGCATTTCCGTAACCTACAAGCCTTACAGGCCGTTCTATTTTTCTTATTTATTACACATTCACTATTATTCTTGCATTCTGATATCGAAGATATGTTGTTGTACGTACGCCCGAAGAACGACTGCAATAAAAGAGAAAATTGCGATATTAATAACGAGAAATTAAAAAAGGGCACACGTTACACAAAAACCTGAGCCGCTTTTGGATATTCGCGTGCATTAATTTTGCGTAAAATATAGACAGACTTCCGTCGGCATCGCATAAGGAATAGCAATTTATAAGCGATGCTGTTAATAAGAATCATCTGTGGTCCCATTCAATTCGCTCCGTCCCTGCTCGGAATTAAAAATTACATTTTTCAAAAAGTCATCATAAAGAGCACTGCGAGGCGTATTAAAATCTGGGTCAACACGAATAAGGCTGTATCTCACACTTAATATTGCTGGAGTGAGTTCGACGCGGGTCCTGTTGCGTTGCGCCTCTCGACATAAATAATGGGGGTCTTTCGCGGATTTTTAAAATAAATTTGGAAGTTACCCCGCTGCGAGCGGTCTCGGGCCTCTTCTTTCTCAATTAAACTCGTACGAAAGCGTAAAATATGTGATTGTGCTACAGTTTCACTCCATGCCGTCGTGTGGCCAGTACACTTTCAGCAGTAAATAACGATCTGTCCCATTATTTGGGATTATAACAATATTTTGTGTTGCAATTTGCGGTTATTGCTTGCATACCTTATTTGAATACTTGTATTTGTAATACGAAATTAAAAATGATCCTACATAAACTATATGTTCTAAATTGCTCTAAAAAAAAACTGTTATTGTATCATAAAAAAAAAATTGTAGATTTAATCAAAAGATATCTATACGATACGGTTGTTCACCAAAAAATAAAAACGCATAAATCAAAGCTCGATGATTTAGATGCCAAAACAAGCAGTAACTGTCAACACCCAAAGATAATATTTATAGCGCACTTCAAACCGGTATTCACTTAGAAATGACGCTAGCTAATTTGTCATAATGCGGTTTCCAACCAGTTAACTGTCACTGTATCATCATAGTTTGCAATCTGTTTGTTCAACCATTTCAAACACGGTGGGACACTGTGTGCTGCTGTGTGCCTTTAAGAAGTACAACTTCTGAGTAGATAGAGAGGGAAATTCGCGAACGCACATGTGAGTCAGTAGATTAGAAATTTCAGATAAGTCCCTCTTCCTTATGAGTGTGGATCGCGCGTTGTTGATATCTCTAATTGAGCCGTGCCTCGTCGAGTACGTGACTTGATTTGCTTTTGTTATGCGAAATAATGATTTAGTAATGGCACTGACCAATTACCCGCCAAGATATGACCCGAGGATGCCCGTCTGTAATGCACGGTGAATTTATTCATGTTTTCGCATATACATTGCTTGGATTTATTTAATATTATAAACTTGTTATTATTTTATCTATACTTATAATAAATCTGTAGAGAGGTCGATTCTGTACATGAAATATATTTCCAAAATAACCATCAGGGGGTTATTAGTGATCGATACTGATGCCAAAAATGTAATCAGTAAAATTTTTGTCTGTTTGTATGTTCATTATAGAAACAAAAACTAGTCGACGGATTTTAACGATACTTGGTACAATTATTCTTCATACTCCTAGGCAGGGTATAGTATACTTTTTATCACGCTACGATCAATAGGAGCAGAGCAGTGAAGCAAGATGTTTGGAAAACGAGAAAAGTTACTCCATTTTTAAGCTTCCGTCGCATGTGCAGATTTAATGGCCACTTTTTAAAATGTTAAAAATATCCACCAGGTGCGACGCCGGGACGGCCCGCTAGTGTGGAATAAAAAAATATTTTTTGATAAAAAAAATAAAGTTAATGTAGTATATTTTGAAATACCAGAGAAGACTGCACAAAAGTCGATTGCTTGGGTACCTCTGCCTCATTCGTGTTTCTATCGTGAAGCAGTTGTGTTTGCATGGCTGTGTATCAGTTTGAAGGCTGGGATATAAAAAAAAAATGTTCCCCGAAAAAAGAAACCAACTTTAATTGTAGCAGTTATTTCAATTTAAAAACTAAACTACTGTGCCGATTTTGATAAAATTTCTACAGGACTAATCTGTAAATATATCCTTTCAGATAAAAAAGAATTTTTCAAATCGGTTCACAATTGACGGAGTTATGAGGTAACAAACACAAAAGAAAATACAATCGAATTGATAACCTTCTACTTTATAAATTCGGTTGAAAATACAATAAACTATAGGATGGAAATTTAAGAACAGTATGGTATGTTTTGTGTATGTATCTCTCGTTTATCTACATTATGTATCGTTTATTTATGTAATTTTAGTATGTATGTATATCAATAATTACTAGTACCGCATTCGAGTATTTTGACACTTGCCTATGGTTGACTGGCAGAGAATGCTTTTAGCATTAAGTCCGCCATGTACACATATTTGTACTAATGAATAAATAAAATAAATAAATTATGTCTATAGGCGACAGTGGCATTTTAATTGTAAAAACAACTGAAATAGCTTACCATTATTTTTACTGACAATGCTTGAGTTCAAAGGTTACCAGTTAGAAACCAGTTAAGTATAAAAGACAAAAATATATATATAAATCAAACCGATTATTGTTATAAATAGTGAGATTAATAATTTATAATATTTTTTTTTTCACGGATCTATATGATTATTATATGTATAATTAATAAAGGATTTATTAATATTTTTATTGCCTTAAAATATATTTTATAATGATGGTTATAGTAACATATTTGGTTACATGTTTTTCCATTATACACATAAATTGTAATTTATATTAACACATATCCACTCTAATTAAGTTTATCCTGTTATTTACATAGAAATGTTGACATAAGACATAAAATAGTTGCAAATTAGTCGTGTGTTCGGATGGAAGCTCTAATATCACCACCCACGTTTATTGGTTTGAATTCAGAATACAAAAGAATATAAATTAGAAAGCAGGAAATCGCTTTATGGGCTTGAACTCTATAAATTGTTTGCGAACTTTTAAAGCGTTTATTTTGACAAATATATTTTATTTTTTTAACTTTATGTATAAAGGTTTCGTATATCTATTAGTATAATAATAACTTTAATAATATTGTAAATGTGAAAGTGGATTCGTATGTTTGTTACAGCACTTTAACGTCTAAAAAATTCACTATGAAATTTGGTATATGAAAGATGGAGAAATATCAAGTCATGCGTACGAAGTTGAGGGTAAAAGCTACTACAATAATTATGACAGGACGAAAGTTGAAGTTATGATTATACTAAGGTATTATGCGTACTTAATTTTCTACCTATTATAAATATCTATTAAATAAATATCATTTACCAGAGGGAGACTGTACAAAAGTTGTTCCCTTGGGTACTTCTGTCGCTTTTTTTAATGGATGATAATGGAATGGTAACGTCTGAGCTATCAGTATACGCTGGCGGGGCGCCAGTAAGGGATGGTAGGTGTGAATGAAAATGCAAGTGAGTTAGCCCATCGTGATGAATACACCTGGAATTCAATACGATGGTATCCAGGGGGGACCACGGGAAGGTCGACCTGATAGGGTATATTGTTAATAATGGGTTTGATAGTCTGCATTACCTCGTGTCGTGAAGTCACTATGCTTGCATAACTATGTTTTGATTTGAAGTATGATTAATGGGATATATATATATATATATATCACCGCATACTATCCGTATGTCTGTATATCTTACAAATAATAAAATCACTATGGAAATTACTATAATCTACTACGAGCAGTCATTCTATCTCGCAAAAACAATATGACAAACTTCCAAAGAATGCAGTACGCGTGGGCGCAGATACGATTCTTACGACTCTAGAGACGTTTTCATATAAAAAAAAAAACATTACATGTACTTATTATACAAGTACCATCGTACCGTACCAGCCGTTAACTCTCCACTGCTGGGGGGAAGGGATTGTTAGTAATGCGGTCTGTCAGTCCCATTGCTAGCAATATACCGTGTCAGGTCGACCTCCACGTGGTTCCCTCTGAAAGCTATCGTGCTAAATTCCAAATGTATTTATCACGGTGGGCTAACTGACCTGCTTTATCTTCACTTATCATCCCTCACTGGTGCCCCGCCAGTGTATACCGATAGCGCAGGCGCGGTTACCATGCCATTATCATTCATTAAAGAAGAAAAACGTAATCCGTAATAGAGTGGTAAGAGGTTATCTTCCATTTTCTTTTTGAAACTCACGAATGTAACTTTCGTTCCAATAATACTCCCCAATTGTCTTTCCCCTTTTTTTTTTTTTTTTATACAACTTAGAATGGCAAACAAGCTGACGGCCCACCTGATGGAAAGTGGTAACCGTCGCCTATAGACATGACATCCCCTCTCACCTTACTGGTTACGCTTCAAACTCTTTTCTCCTACATTCTTCACGACTCTAGAACGCGCTTCCTAATGCCATTAAGAGACTACCGACTAAACCGTCTTTCAAAAAAAGCATTCACGGTCACTTTTTATTTTTATCCGAGCAATAAGTGCTTTATATTATTCCCAAATTCGTGTATAATATAGTATATATCATATATGTGTAAGTATATTTGTTATTCATATATATATTTATTCGTTTGTATATGTAATTTTAGTATGTATGTATATCAATAATTAGTAGTGCCGCATTCGAGTATTCTGACACTTGCCTATGGTTGACTGGGAGAGAATGCTTTTAGCATTAAGTCCGCCATGTATACATATTTGTACTAATGAATAAATAAATAAATAAGAGGTATGTTGACTGTTACCATGGAACGTGAATCCAACATGGCAGATAGCGAGTCTACCGCCTGCGCTCGGGTTAATTTGTTTTCTTATCCGTGTTTTCGATTGTTTTTTTTTTATATATATAATTAATTAGTACAATCAATTCTCGTATCATTATACGTGAGATATATGAACGAAATTTAAAGTTTCATTAAAAAATTAATTAAGTTTGTAAACGAAACGGAAATCGAAGCGGAAATAAACAGCATGTTATTACTTTGTGGTCAGCCGAATCGTCCATCTTGTTTAAATTGATGATAAATAATTGAAATCAAAT